TTGGTGAGGCTCCTATATACTTGTACCTTTTCTGTCCAAATTGCCTCTTACAATCTAAATCCTTCTTGTTTAATGGGAGAGGGAAAGGAGGAGGGAGAGACGGGATAAATAGAGATCTTACATTCTTTTTCCAATTTCTATCTTAGTAGAATTGAAGCTGATAAATTCTATATTCTATAAGTATTTTCTAAGATTTATTCTCTAAAAGAAGGGCTTTGGAGGTAATTTTTGCAAGTACTGCTCTTAATTGACCAAATGGGCTAAGAATTTTGAGGTATAATGGCCTTATCTCAAACCACTTTTGTTTTTTGTTTTTTGTTTTGTTTTGTTTTGTTTTTTTTTTGTTTCCCTCTCCATATGAATTTTTGAATAAGTACTATGAATTGTAAGTATATATTTTTGTATATATTGATGCAAGATGCTATATATTAGATACTTCTGAAGATAAAATGATTGGTTATTAATACTCTTGCTAGAAAGGAGAGGCAACACCTTGTCCATTGGAAGAGTTTATTGTGGACTTAAAGGATTATTGTAGCATCCTTGGTAGCTTGTGGTATTTTATTTCCAAATAAAAATTCTAGATATCTAGTTGATGTTGCTTGTATGAGCCATATTAAGGCCTTCTCCTCTCCCTATTGCTATTGTCAAGGTGTGTTGCTAATCCAAATAGCTTTGGATTTGTTTCAATTTACTATGAACTTGATACTCAACAAAACAATTCTAGTACATTGAAGGTGCATTGGAGATTTTTGAGGTGCCTTTTAAATAGAGAGTTGTGTCATCTACAAAGCATTGATCTCAAAAGATTGATCTGTCTAAAAGACTTAAACCTTCTATTCCATAATATTGGTTATTTACCATATATGACAAAATATAAGAAATAAATAGATAGATGTATGATACTAGAGGACAACCTTGTCTAATTGACCATTGTAAAATGAATTTGTGGCTTTTGTACCCATTGACGACTTTTGTAGGATTAATTTGGCTTTTTGATATAGTGTTGCCATCTACTTTATCCATTCCATTGAGAAGCCAAGTTTCTTCATGGTTTTCTTCAAAAGTGTCCAATTAACTTTGTCATAGGCTTTGTCAAAATCTAGAAGGAAGATTACTAAATTTTGGTTGTTTTCTTTGGCCTAGTGTATCGATTCTTGTGATAGAAGTATGTTAATAATACACCAAACAATACGAAATTAGATTTCTCCTCGTCTGTGAAGAGGCTGCGTTCTCCGTCTACTAATTATTGTATATTTGTATGTTGTCGTTTCTCTTGGTGGAACTCAAAGAAATCCTTGGAACACCAATCTCCTACTCAGTTCCATCTAGCGACCGAGGTGTTCTTAATTTCTTCCAGCTTGCTCATCCTAACTGATTCCAGTTTTGCTTGGGCTTTGTTTATTCGCTCTTACGTATACATGTCTGTCTAATCCTCTTGTAGTGATATTTTTGAATTGTCGATTTCCTTAAACTGATCATTATAGAGCTGACGATGTTGTCGTTTGTAATCTCTAGCTATTATCACGTTGACTCTTCAAATTTGTTCCAAAGCCGTAGCCATGCGGCTGCCAATGGGTCCTATTTTGTTATTATCCATGGCATCGCGCCATGCTTTGGTGAATCTCTGCTTAGCTGCAGCATCATAGATCAGTGCCTGATTGAACTGCGTCTGCTTTTTTCTTTTGATTGAGCTGTAGCGAATCGAGAAAAACACTACTGAGAGGTTTGATAGGTAGGTTAGGTGAGGCCAGATGTCATGTGCGCCCCGTCTTGTTGTAGCTCTTAGCTAATATAAAATCTATCTATTCTAGACGAGCAGGAGGTCGAGTTTTGTCTACATGTGAAGTTTTTTTGTCGGAGGCAGCGGTAAATGTCCATATAGAAGGTGTCGCTAACTCCGAGTCTTATTGCGGAATTGGTCCACGCTGTGTGTTCATGTCTGTCCATGCTTTTAAGATTAGACCCTTGACTACGATCCTCGGGGATTTCTGTTATATTGAAATCTCCTCTAATGATCCATGGAATGGAGTGAAACAGATGATGTGAGAGTATACTCCACATCTGAGCCTGTTGACCAGTCGTGTTTGGTGCATGTATATTTAATATGCCCGTGTGTCTTCCATTTAAGTTAAGAATCACGTATTGTACTCCCAATTCAATATTAACCCCATATGAGATGACTTGTGGGGCGAGATGGTTGGAGATGGCGATTGTGGTACCTCCTAAGAATCATCCTCCCTCCGTCGTATATGTGGCATTGTTCCAATAGCTAGTTCCTTCTTTGAATTGAAGTTGGTTGGTGCGGTGTAAACAATCGACAATGCTGTAGTGATGTTCTTGTACCAATATTATTTTCGGTTTCGGTTGCGGTTGCGGTTACTTTCTAGAAAAACTTTTGAATCTTTGTCTTCTTATTTGCTCCTTGTAGTTCCTACCCGAGTGATCAAACATTACAGGAGGCTAGTACCAGGTTTTGTAAAATCATTCTAGGTGAATGGTTTGAGGGGAGGCCATGGCATTACCCTCTTCCTCCAGGTTGTCTATCCCACATCTGAGATGGTGTACATTACTTTGCATGTGTGGTTTCTTTCTGGCTGGTCTAGGGAGTGAGGAGTCAGGGCCGAACTGCCTGAAACCCAATAATTCTTAAAGAGTATGGATAGCAGTGTTGGGGAGCAGGCGGATCTCTCCTTGTACTCCAAAAGTTCTAAAGATCCTAAGGGCCGGGGCAAGGATGTTCAGAGGTGTCTGTGCGGCCTCTGAAGTTTGGAGTCAGGGAGTGTGGTTGAAATGAAAGCCACGCATAAACAGTGGCTTGTCTTCTCGTCTCCTCTCTTCCATTTGTAGCCCCATTTTGCATCCTCTCATTTTCGGAGTGGATTTTTTTTTGTTGTGGGTGTTCACTATTATCATGGAGAGTGCTTGCGCCATTTCGTCTAAAAGTAGAGTCCTTGATTGTTGAGTTATCCAAGTCGATTGATCTTCTAACACTATGATTTGTTGGTAGGAAATGGGTTGGTTACTAATGCTCATCCATACTAGGACGTTGTAGTAGTATGGACTTCCTGATTTTGTAAGAAAAAGGAAAAAAACCCGGCACCGATAGGTTTGCGTATGGACAATTGGTGTAAGCGGTATCTTCTGAATGAACGTTTCTGATAGCGAGGAGGTACGGTGGCCTCTTTTGTTGCTATCTGAGTTGGTGGAGCCTGGATCCACCTGGTCCTTGTTGGGTAGTTGTGATCGAGTAGGACATTGTTTTCATACTAGATGAGATCTGGATTCATTTTCCAGTTGGTTGATAAAATCCTTGTTTAGCCTCTGCTGTGGTGACTCCGGAAATAACTCTTGTTGTGGTGGCAGACGTTGAGGAGGGAAGAGCTCTAGTTCTGTCAGGGTGGTCCCTTGACTGTCTTTTCCCCTTGTGGTGGCGTGGTTGATACTATGATGTCTCCTCGGTGCGTGGGACGGTGTCTCTGAAGCATGGCACTAAAGATCATATGAGGCGTTGATGGAGAGGGCATGCTCTGGCAGGAGGATACTCCTTCTTGTCTAATTACTGATTTCAATCTAGAAGACATAGAAATCGGTGGGAAGGATTCAGATGTCATGTCTATTTCCTGTGATGTATTGATTTGTTGTTATGTTATTGGAGCCTCCTCCGAGAGGGCAGTCCTGTCCTTGGTGGGGGGAGGATTGTGCTCCTTGGGAGGTGATGTATGCTATTGGATGCGTGTTCCAGTGGCTCCTCTTCCCCATATGTTGGAGATGGTGTTGTTTCCTATTTGTGTCTTACCTTGGTTGTCCTTGGTATGTTCTTGTTGTCTCTGGCCTCTATATGGGGGAGGCTGTAGAAGGGGTCTGTGTTTGCACTCTATCGATGTGTGTCCTAGTCCTTTGCATTTTGTACAGAGGTGGGGGTGGCCTGATGCTAGTATCTTATGTAAGAGCGGCGTGTCTAGGGTAGGTTTAGGTGTCTTGTTGATGTTGTGTAACAGTACCTTGATATGTGGTCCTACGGTCTTGTGCGAGTAGGAGGACGATTCTTCTATAAAGAGGACTTGTCCTAGTCTAGAGGCTATGATCTTCAGACAACTTTCGTGCCAAAGGTAGTGGCTTAGCCCTAGAAACTGAATCCATACCGGGTATGACAGGAACTTATAGGTGTCTGGATTAGTTGCGGAAAAATATGGACTCTATGGGGCAAATGGAATCTCCCTGCCTTCAAATGTAAATGCTGTTTGGAGCGCGTGCTGTATGCCCTCACTGGAGGTAAACACAACTTCGAAAAAACCATTTCCCAGTAGAGAGCATGTTTGAATCGAGTGATGTAGAATGGAGTATGCCCACTCTTTCACTGCGGCTTGGCCTGGGCTTCTGCCTGATATATATCCCAGAATCGTGTGTTACGCGATCTGGTCATGGATTGCAATAATGATGAGGAGTTCTTCGGTAGAAAATGTCACCTGAAGTGTGTCAGTATTGCAAGTCGACTGTGTTGCATTGTCCCCTATTCTTGGGCTGAGGGGAGCAGGATGCGCGGGCGTCTGGCCGGTACTACTACAATCTATTCCATGGTGATCGGTGAATGGGGCTCTCGTTTTCTCTGGATCTATGAGGTGTGCCCGTGTTGTTGGGTGTTCTCCAACGGAAGAACAGCGCCCTGACTTGTTGCCATAGCAGCCCTCAAGTTCCAGAAAAAGCAGTCACAGCGATGATTCTGTATGGAAACGATAATGTAGGCGTAACCTAATTTCCGGAAAACTAGTATTTCATAACTGGCTGCTAATGCTGTTTAAGAGAAGATTAGAGCTAATTCTGGCGTGTCGACTGAGCTAAACCTATTCGCAGTCACGTCGCCGCCACCGCCACCGCCGCTCCGTCCCGCCCCTCCCTCGCTCCTACCGCTCTACCATTTGAGCTACACCCCCTGGTCGCCGCCCGCATCGGATGGCCCACCTTCGCTGGCGTGCTCGATTCCTCTGCAACCTTGACAATAACTACCGAAATTTTCCGTTTCATTTGCAGCGATGAACCGAATACATTTACACCTACACCCACCGACACATCTCACAAGCGATGTCGATCTATTCCTTTGTCTTCCTGAATGTTGTTCTCAGTTAGCTCTTCTCCAGAGCCGAAGTATGACCCAATTCTTCGGCACTCATGACACATGCGGAGGTTTGCGGCTCACGCGAAGAGCTTAGGAGATCTCTCGGTACGTTTGGTGAATTGATAGTGTTCTTGGCAGCCAGCCAGTACCAACCATTCGCTGCGGTCTTTGCATTGTATTCGTTGATATTTTCTTCAGAGTATCTTGTATAGTACAAGGAATGTTCCTTCCGTATGGTGAGTTTTGGGTTGTGAAAGACTTCTGGTCTTACCCACGCAGCTGCTCGAATCATAGATCAGTTCTGACAATTTACAATTTTCGGAGTCCAAATTTTATGGAGTGTCGCGGACCCGCGCAGATCGATACCAGATTTGCTGAGAAGAAGGGCCTCGAGCTAGTCTAATTGGGGCAAGCCTTTCACATTTTGTTCCTCGGTTGGGGATTCGCGTTGAATGCCGTGGTTTCTAGGGTTTAAGGGCAGTTGTCTGGTGCGGGGGCTTAACTGGTCCCCGAACTGACGGATGTTGATTGTTGGTGAATTTTATTGAAGGCTTTGGAGTTGATGTATGGTATGATATTCTTCAGGTGGAATGTCGAGGTTTGCAATTTCCATTCACCGTATTTGTACAATCTTCACTGCATCGGTTGAAGGTGGCAGATTAATGTTCGGTTCTAGTGTTGTTTTCATAATGGAGAGCATGAGTTGGCGATGGTGGGGACCCTTCTTCACCAGTGTCATTTGCACATACGAATTTTGGCGTTGTCATACTCGTAGTGTTGTGTTTAGCATAGATCTGCTTTTTACTTTCTTACTTCACCGTGTTAAGGTAGATGGGTTGCTGTTGGGGAAGTAGGATTTGCAGCGATGGAGTGTACGCGCACCCATGTTGTGTGTGCCCTAAACACTTGCAATGATACCCTTGCTGACGCTTCTGTTCCGATCGCTTTATTTTTCTTAGGTATAGGTTTTACGACGTGCCAACTAGCTAATCTGGTATCTACTTGAGTGGGCCATCAATTCTGCAGCAACCCAAGTTTTTCTCTGCTCAATTCGTGATGATCAGGCCCTCCGCTTTGTGAGGGCCTGACGAGGCGTGGGCACAAGGAGAGAGTAAAGGGATAAGCTATGTCCGAGGTCGAAGGCAGAGGAGGTAAAGTGCTGGTCACTGTGGGAACCACGCTCTTTGATGCTTTGGTTAGGGAGGCGTCTTCGCAGCCCTGTCGTCAAGTTCTTGCCGATTTCGGCTACTCTTCTCTCGTTATTCAGCGTGGGAAGGGATCTTTCATTCCAGTCGAGGTATAGTCTACTCAGCCCCACTTCATGATCTCTAACTTAGTCATTGATTTACCATATGCAATTGCTTGCAACGTTTGGCGCATTTTTTTTTTTTTTTTTTTTTTTTTTTTGTTATACATGCTTATGGAATAGATTGTATGAACCTTGATGAACTTGAATCTGTAAGGTGTTTCGTGGCTAGAATCAGTTAGACAATCCAGTGCACTTGAACGCCCTTGATAAGAACGGGATTCGTCATGAATAATTTGTTCTTGCCCGATGATAACTATGGAGGGATTCGGTTGGCAATTGTTGTTCTACAAACCAAATGACTTTTTTTGATCCATCTTCCTGTGTGCAAAGTCTGATGGCAAGGATGGAGGATTGAAAGTGACTTCTTTTGATTTTGAACCGAATTTGTCGGACCATATAGCTTCGTCTGCCCTAGTAATCAGTCATGCAGGTACGTAACCGTTTTTATTATCATATTTCGTCTAATGAGAAGTCTTGTCATATATATGAAGCAGACTTAGTCCTAGAAGGTAATAACACTATATAGTGTTTGTAGCTTCGTCAAACAAACTTTGTTGTTAAGATATCATAGTTTTTGTAGCTTCATTTTCCTTCTCATGAAATCTTGTCATGCAGTGCCGGGGGTCATGGTAGGCTAGTGTAAGAAATTTTAGTCAGGTTTGTAAGACTAGCTTGTTCTAAACACGACTCTTACTTTGGGATGTGTCTCGCAATGCAACTACTGTGATCTTAGCAGTATTAGGATGGTTTGTGGTTGTCTTCTGGATTGGTCCTCATATTATTCACACGTGACTATAGCTGAAGGAACTTTTAAACCAACTCTAGCACAATGCCGTGTCGTGCGTTAACAGGTTCTGGCAGCATTTTTGAAACTTTACGAGCCAAGAGGCCTCTCGTGGTAGTGGTGAATGACCTGTTGATGGACAACCATCAGTGCGAACTAGCGGAAGAGCTTGCTGCAAGGAAACATCTAGTGTATGCCAGCAGTCCCGCCACTCTGATAGAAACTCTTAAAAACATGGAGCTTCCTTCTCTTGTGCCGTACCCTCCCTCAAACCCACTTGCAGTGGTTAGTGCCTTAAATCAGTACCTTGGTTTTGTTGATACATGATATTACTTGCAGATTAAGTTGTGCTTTATGTAGTTTGTAGTAGCCATCAAATGGAATGCTGACAAGTGGAAGCTTTTTCATACATTTTTTGATAATATTTTCTGGAACTTTTCCTAATTCACCCTGTCATTTGTGCTGGTTTTCATGGATGCGGCATCGCTTTGTGAGGCTGTTGCGACAACTATCGAAATGAGATTTTTACAGATAGAAAATCTTTATTTGAGTACACATAATCAGCATAATTATCTCGTTTCATTTGAGTAGCGCAGCTCGAACAACGCCGAGACCTGCAAAAGTATAGTTCATTCGGTCCCGTGGCTTCGGTGACATTTACAGATCGCCCAAATATTTAAGTTACACGATTGTTCACAACCAATCCCGATCACGGGGCTACCGCCCCAATGTTCCGTTTCGGTGCTTTGATGAGCATATGTTCCAAATCTTCTAGCCAAAGAATCCGTGGTGCTTCTTCTGACCGTTGTTGGATTTTTCTTCGGCCGAGTAGCCGGTGGTGCCGTAGCCTGGAGTGGGCTTAGGAAGGCCGAGATCGGCGCCGGAGTAGTCCGTGCCCCCGGTGGGATGTCCCCCTTCTGCCGATGCACCCGAGTAGTCGGTGCCTCCCGTCGGGTGTCCCGTCTCCATGCTTGCACCAGAGTAGTTAGTTCCTCCGGTTGGATTACCGCCTTCGATTGAATCCAAGGAGTAATCAGTTCCTGTTTCATTGGCAGCTTTGACTTTATGAGGTGCTCCCTCCGTGGTACCAGCTCCAACAGTAGTATGCTCCTCGGTCGTGGTCATTGTAGTTGGGCGCTTACGTGCAGCTCTTTCATCACGACGACGCCTCTGCCGGTCCTTTCCCTCTTCTGACTCCGATTCGGAGCTGCTGGAGGTGTCAGATCGACCCTGCAACCCACCTAATCAGTCGGATTCCCCAACACGTATGCATGTTCTTTGAATCCACCCATCGGACCCGGCCGCATCACTGGCAGCTCGCAGCATGGAGAGGCAAAATCTAGACTGGGCAAAGACCCAACTCCCAAAACTCTTCGACTAGGATATTGCCACTCACTCGATCGAATCAAAAACCTCAAGTTATGCGGACTTACCCCAAATCCGAACAGGCCTCTGGACTCAGTCTCTACATTCTCTGACTGCGGAGTAGACTTTTCCTCGACGTCGGTGACCGACTTCGCAACTCCATACTTGTTCCCTTCTCCACTGTATTCAACATTCGGATCCATGGTTATCAAACTCGCTCAATTTGCTGTTGGGATACCAACCTGCTTGCGATATCAACCTGCTTGCACAAAAACTTGAAATCTGGAATTGACAAACGTAGCTCTGGGAGTTCAATGGGCAGTGATGAGATAAGGCTTGATATATGAGCTGGATGGGATCGGACTTAGTCGGGACAGGGTAGCTGGCACTGCACAATGGAAGCCGACAAGTGGCGCCTGAAGGAGGCCGAAGCGTTCTGCTAGCGCCACGCAACGTCATGGCCACAAAATATATTATAACCCAGATTAGAGTCGAAACTTGCACTGACACTAGCCTGGATTCGGTGAAATAATTCTCGTTTCTTTTGGCACTGCACGATTGATCAGATCTCCCACAGCAAGATGCTCATTTCTGCGCTTCCTTTTCACCAAATCCTTGCTCTGCATTTCTTTTCAGACATATTCGCCGCGTGCGGCGACATACTGGGGAAATTTTCACAAAGTGTCAATGAAAACAATGCCAACCTCTAGCATCTCTCATCTCGGGGACTACACTATCCTGCTACTCCTCGAGACTGTTACCCCTTAATTCTTGGAAAGCCATAGTATTGGTTGAATTGAACACAAAGAACCCAACGAAAATAAGGACTACCATGGCCCTGAAACACGCTTCTCAGAAACCTCGAGTCTCCTTCAGAATTTCCCGAGTCAGATACTTGCGTCAAGAAGATGAGCAGTGACAGCGAAGACATAAAATCCTCGCTCGACTGTTGTCAGCCGTTGCTTTCAGATGTTGTCAGCAGCCGTTTGCTGGCGAAAACCAACAACATGAACAGCACAGATCAATGGGAAGCACTTCATGATGGCCATGTCAGGCGGACGTGGAACTTGTCCAACTTCCTTTCACCCACTCGTCGTCGCCAACACTTTCTCTCGCCCACTAGGTAACATCCATGATGTGTCCAGATTCTTCACACCACGCCCCTCGTAACGTAATAACAAATACAACTTGAAGGCGATCAAAGTTTGCATTTTCTCGTGTACCCCACTTTTTGGTACGAAGGACCTGATTCATCAAACTTCCACTTCCCCGCAACCAGCATTTGCCGATGGCGAAGGCATTCTCACAATCCGTTACATAAAATATATATAAATAAATAAATAACTAACTAACTAAAACAAAAAACAAAAATTAAAAAATTAAAAAATTAAACAGCTCTGCTCTTGTGTGATCTCTACAGATGGTTCATGAGTTGCTAGCTACGAGAAAACGGTGTTTTTGCCATCTGGAGAGATCACAAGCAAGCTACCATCTTTAATGGTGATTAAGCATTCAGGTTGTGCTGGAATCTGAATCCCACACAGCCGAAGTAGAAGCAGAGTCTAGATGGTGACTGCAAGCAATCCCCATGCGGGACTGTTGCGTGGATTGAACTCGACGTTTCGTGTTGGGATTTTAGGTGCTGATTCAGAACTGAGATATGGTTTCTTTGCTGGTGAATGAAGCTGGGTGGATTGTTACGTTGTGAACAACACATATATATTTATTGACATAATCGTCTTCAGAATATACTACTCTTGTAAACTTCCGTAGAAACTGAATGTGGGGTTCAAAAGAAAACAATGTGTAATTAATGTTTATGATAGAAATTTGATTAATTTTGATAGTTATTGATTTTGAAATTGGAATAAGATTAGATGTAATCTTGTGTGATTTTGTGTATATTAAGTAATTATATATGTAAATTTGATATTTTTTTTATTGTCAAGAATATAAAATTTAATAAACTTATTGGTGACAATTTAATAAGAATGAAAGAAATAAGAAAAAAAAAAAAAAAAAAAACAAAAAAAAACAAAAAAAAAAAAAAAAAAACAAAAACAAAAACAAAAAAAAAGATAAAACTAGACAAGATATACTTGTAAAATAATAAGCTACAAGAATGATTATGGCTTTGTATAAAGAAAGTAGAGTCTTCTGAACCAATATTGGAATACAAGAAATGCATTGATAATATTATAGATGGTCTTAGTTTGGTCTTTATATATCTATTGACTAATAAATACTTAGATAAACTTTCTAAAAACCATGAGTCTTATAAGCTACATGCATGACTTGTAGGATGCTACTATAATAGATTTTAATATTTAAAAAATTCCAAATAATAGTTTCTATAGCCACATCGTCCATGTAAGGCCACAAATAAATACAATACTTCTATAGAAAGCATCTTTGATATTTATTAGAGAAATTATTATTTGCTTAACTTCTTTCTACTTCTATTTATTTTTTTTGATATAAACAAAAAAAAATTGTAATATCTTTTTGCTTCTCTATAGCAAATTATATCCTCAAATTATATGTTAGCATTATTCTATTGATCTTCTATTTTTCTAAGAATTTTCCATCTACCAGATCTATTGATCAATCTTTCATGTTTCATACATTATTTTTTATAAGTTTTTGAAGAATTGTTAAAACAATATTAAATGTTATAAGCATCTACTAAAAATATTAAAATAAAACTAAAATAAAACCTTGTTGTATATATAAAAAAAAGATTATATATTTTTTTAAAAAATTTAACTTTTATTTATTTTATATAGAAGAAATTAACCTCTTCTATTATTTTATTTATAATTAATATTTATTTTAATAAAAACATACATACTTTGTTATCTTTTTTATTATATATTAATTTTATTTATTATTTCTTATTATATTTAGTTAAAAAATATTTTAAATATGATAATATATCTTAGAAAAAAAAAAATTAGAGAACCTAGTTTAGTTAAGGATGGTCCAATTAAGAAAGAAGTTAATTAAAAAAATTCAAAGAAAGACTAAAATATTTAGTAGGTAGGATTTAAGGTTTTTTTTATTTATTTTTAAATATATATATATATATATATATATATATATATATATTGTTGCAATAAAATAAAATAAAATAAAAAAATAAAATAAAATTAGGTAGAATAAAAAAAATTAAAAATAAAACGTTTTTAATTATCTTAAAAACTTTAATGAATTGTGATGAAACAGAACTAGACTATCTCAAAAACCCAAGATCCTTCCAATCCTCAACAACATAAGGCCTCTTCCCAAAATAGGACAAAACAAACCAAAACAAAACTAAACAAAACTAAATAGAATAGAACATGAAAGACAAAACTAAGCAAACAGAAACAAAACAGAACAGATCTGAACAAAAAGATGGAAAACCAAACTTTACTAAGAGAAAGGGTCCAAAGCCATACCTAACTAGATGCCTCCAAATGGCCCTAACCAGTCCTATTTATATCTTATCCTATGATCCTAGACTTTTTAGAATATTCTTAGGTGGTGGATGCTCCAAACCGTTGTCCACTTCATATTCTTATTAGTCATCAAATACAACTGGTGGTGGTGGTGGTTGATGTCAATCCAGAAAGCACTTTGATTCGGTATGAAATTCTTCCAATTGCGAAACATGGAAGATAAGATGGACCTAAATATGTAGTAGAAGCTCAAGGCAATATGTGACATGAAATATTACTACAGAAATGTGGAAAGGTCTAAGCCACCGAGGGGCTAGTTTACAGATTTGTGTTGATATAGCAAGTGGTAAGTTGGCATTAAAGAGTAACACCTCATCATTCTCTCGAAAGGTCTTGAGTTATCGATGGTTATCTATATATTGCTTCTATCAATTTTGTGCAATAAGGCGGCAATGTCGTATCTCTTGTAAGCTGTTGTATAAATTCTTCCACTATCGGATTGTTGGTGTTGATAGGACAATGAAGAGTTACATGTACAATTGGATATTGATTGATATTAAGGAAAAATAATGAATGGCAAGTACTTGCTTAAATACTATTATTATAAATAAATTCCTAAGGTGTCAAGTATTCATCTCAATCATTATGATGAACTGCCACAAATACTCACAACATATCTTTCAAGGTTCAATTTGTACACTCTATTTTTCTATTTGTTTGAGGATAGAAGGTTGTAAACATGACAAGTTATATGCCTAGTAGCTTGAACAAGACTTGCCAAAAACTTCCCATGAAGTATGAATCAAGATCTAAAATGATGACATAAGGTAATCCATGGTGATAAAAGATAGTATCAAAGAAGACTCGTGCAAGCATTAAGGCATCAAGATCCAAGCGCACCATGGCTAAGTAAAGTTGCTTTAAGAGCCGATCCATAAAGACAATAAACATGGTATGTTTATGAGGCATTTGCAACAAATATGTAATGAGATCCATAGTCACTTGCTCCTAACATATTGTAGATAATAGAATTGGTTGTAATAGTCTAAGAGATGCTATATTGCATGCTTTGTTATGTTAACATGACTCATAGGAGTGTATAAAGGCTTGAACATCACGATCCAAACCTACCCAAAATCATATCTTTTGAGATATATTCTAGGATCTTTTCTCATCTCAGATATCCAGATATTGGAATGTCATGTGTCTTTGAAGTATGCACGTCTAGAATTTAGCATTGTTGGATATATAATTTGCTTCTTGAAATAGAGAAAGCCTTCACTAAAAGTGTAGTTTTGATATTATATATTACCCACCTTCAATCAATTACTAACCATCTTGAAATAAGTACCCCATTGCATAGCTTCTTTCCATTCTCCCTCTTAGGTTAGATCTGAAATGATACTACTAATGAGAGTGACTTTTGCCTTTTCTTCCGAGTTTTCTTTTAAGTCTAGTCTCCATAATAAACTATTTGACAGAGTATGTTATTGCCCTTGTTTATACTCCAACTAGATATCAAAAAGTTGCAATTGTTCTTCTCAACAATAATGTCACTATTTCATATTTTCCAAATACAAATCATATAACAAGGATTGATGGTTAGTTTGAACAACCATTGACTTCTTCAATAGATAGTGTCACCACACCTTTGTGATGTGTACAATTGCTAATTCCTCTCGATCACGTCCAAAGTAATTACGCTTTGTCCTTTTGAGCTTACAAAATTTATATGGCATAGGTTGAAGGCCCCTACTAAAGTCATGTTGAAAGACCTTTCCAATATCAAAGTCAGAAGTATTAATGTCAAGCATACAAGAAAGATTAGGATCATATGGTTGCAATATTGGACCAATAATGAATGCATCCTTCAACTTATCAAAGGTGTTTTGGTGCTCCAACTTCCATTCAAATGGGGCACCTTTCTCTAATATGTTTGTTAATAAAGCAGTAATGTAAGCAAATTGCCAAAAAAAATTTGTAATAGTATCCAATAAGGCCTAAAAATGAGTGAATTTTAGAAACATCTTTGAGGATTGGTGAATCTTCTAATACTTTTATCTTATCTTGCTCTATACGCATACCTTCAAAGGACACCACATGTCCCAAAATAATGACTTTCAACTTCCAAAGTTCATATTTTGATTGCTTGCAATAAAAATGATTATCTTATAATGAGCGTAGCACCTCTCGTAGGTATTACTCATGCTCTTCAAAGATTTTAATATATACAAGGATATCATCAATGAAGACAACTATACACTTGTTCAAAAGGTCTTGAAACAATCTATTCATATGACCCATGAAAGAAGT